CATCCAAGGTTTTCTCAATGATTGCTATTGAGATTGTAATCGCCTATGGTTCTCTCCCCGATACTGCGGAGATGATAATTCCATCCAAGGTTTTCTCAATGATTGCTATTGAGATTGTAATCGCCTATGGTTCTCTCCCCGATACTGCGGAGATGATAATTCCATTCAAGGTTCTCAATGATTGCTATTGAGATTGTAATCGCCTATGGTTCTCTCCCTGATACTGCGGAGATGGTAATTCCCACCAAGATTCGCTCAACGATTGCTGTTGAAGTTGAAGTTATCCAAGATTCTCTCAATGTTTGCTGTTGAGGTTGTAGTCGCCCTAGGTTCTCTTCCCGATCCTGCGGAGGTAGTAATCATCCCAAGATTTTCTCAACGATTGCTGTTGAGGTTAAAGTCACCCAAGGTTCTCTCATCGTTCCTGTTGAGGTAGTAACTGTCCCTGGTTCATTCATCACCGTTTGAAGCTCCAGACCTAGCTCCTGTAACCAGTCAGGACACATCTATACCAAGCATCTGAAGACCAGCTCCTGCAACATGTCAGGTACTCATTTTTCTTTTGCAGGTACGCAAGTTCTCGCTAAGGAATCTCTTACGCGATCAACACCCAGATGGCATCTATAAGCCCATCCACCTTCCATCACATCTTAGCATGGCATCTATAAGCCCATCATCCTATCCATCAATCTCCAAATGGCATCTATGAGCCCATTCCCATCATCACACTACTATGTGAGCGCAAATTTCTGGGCACTCTAGTGTTCAATCATCTTCCACCCTCGGATTACGAAAGGCACGTCAGCCAATCTGCATCCTCAGGTCTAAGAAGATTGAACAGGGGAAACTGTTGTACCCCAAAATTTGCCCTCCCATATTCTTCAAAATTTGCCAAGTCAAAGCTTCAAAATTTCCCCAAGGGTTGCACAGTTCAAGGGCCTCCTAAACAGTCAAAATTAGGGTTTTGATTCTGACAAAGAAAATGAAGGTTCCAAGGGTCCAATCAAGTCCCACATGCCTACAAACATGATCAAGCATCCTCATACCAAGTTTCAAGACTTAAAGCTCAAAATTGCACAGTCAAAAACCCTAATTGCACTACAGTCAACTGTAGGGGCAAAATGGTCATTTGACAGTCAAAAGTTCAAATTTTTGGTCAACATCTCATTTTGAAGCCACAAACATCATTTGATCAATGCTTGATCATGATTCTCAAAGCTTGGCTCAAAAATCATCAAAATGCAAAAGTTTCCATATTTGGACAGTTGAAAAAGTCAACTGTAAATTGACCAGGGCATAACTTTCACATGGATTATCAGAAAAATTCCATCCAAAGCTCATTTTGAAGATAAAGACATTTCCTACAACTCCTCTTCACACTTCAAGTCCAAGAAATGCTCTCACAAAAAGTTATCAATTTCAACATTATAGGTCATTTTCAAAAGTCAACAAAAAGGGACTTTAAGTCAAAGACCATAACTTGAGATTGGTAAATCAAAATGACATGGGACCAAAGACATTGGTTAGAGGACTCAAAGAACTTTCCAAAATGTCCAAGAACATGAGCAAAGCTTAAAAATTGAGCAAGTTATGCCTTGTGGAAGTTGGGAAATATTTGGATATTTTGAAAAGTCAACATTGATTCAAATGACCTAAAATTGCTAATGGGCCTATTTTTCTTCCACAATTCATTATCCAAGGCATGTGCACGACCATTTGGCCCAAAGGGAAGTTTTTCTTCATTTTTTATTTATTTATTTGGATTTTTATTATTAACAATTCATTTAATTAATTAAAATACATGGAAAATACTAAACCTAGGTTTTTCAATCTTTTTATGCATATAATATCTCCAAGATTTCGTGCCTAACCAAATATAGAAAGAATCAATGGAATTGGACATGATTTGTATCAAAAACATGTGAAAAAAGATTGCAAAATAATGGCTTGAAAATCAAATATATTTTTCATCAATTCATGGATTTGTGATCAGTTTCTCAACCCTAAAACCTTCACACATAAGTACCAAGTGCAACCCTAATGCATACAGACTCTAAGCTGCGCCACATACCAAGAAACCAATTTGAACTTTTTGCTTGAAAACTCAAATCTGAAAACCAAGTTCCAGGTCGATTCAAGCCTCAATACTTATTCCATTGGCTTGCTGAGAGTTCAAGGAACACATACAGATCAAAATCATCGCCCCTAACACAAGGAATAGGTAGCACGACCATGGCCGGTTCAAGCTTTTTTCAGTTTTCTTGAAACATCATTCATGCATTATTGGTGAATTCTAATATTGGATTTGTGCTTATTATGTCATTCTGATGCTAACTGTGTAACTTAATTGTGTTTTTATCACCTCTATGCGATTTCACCATTGTTGGACATTAGGGTTTTCCAAACTGTGAATTGGGGTTTTTCATTTAAGGAAAAATTAACACTCAAGATCTGGACCATTGAATCAAGCATGCTTGGACGAAGAGAAACCAACCCTCGCGCCTAATTTATGAGGCCATATGGCCTATTCGCTATTTTCTGGAATAATGCCTTTTAGAACGGTTCAAAACCGTTGCCTATGTTTTTTTTATTTCAGGAAAATAAACAACCCATGAAGACGATGATTTGGTGGCAGGCAGCAAGTGGTTGGTTTTGAATTTTCGCGCCAGGCTTCCACTAACCCTTATTTTCATTTATGTTATTTGTATGTTATTTTAGATACAAAACGCGTTGAGTGCTTCAGTGGCAAGGCTTGTCAGTGGTAATGTTCAGGACCTGGGTTCGAGCCCCAGGTCCCCACCCCCTTTCATATTATTTTTCATATAACATTCATATGCAGTTTCAGCGTCAAGGTGTACCGTACATCCTCAAGATCAAGCCTTTCACGCACATGATGAGATCAATCCAAGGGCTGTCGTTGGAAGTCTACCATGGACATGAGTCAAGAGCGTTGCACGCTAGTGAAAAAGTCAAAGAGGCCAAAGGGTAAATGGGCCTGAATTACTGACTAAAGCCTCCACTTTGGGGACAGAAACCCCCCTAGGTTTGCTATCTCTTATATTATTTTTTCATTCCTTTTTTATTTCAATTATTATCCTTTTCAATTAATTAGTTTTCTTAATTTAATTATTTTCACAAAAATATAAAAAATAATATAAAATCAGAAAAAGACAAAAAAACAGTATTTTCATTTAATATTTTAATATTTTGTAAATAAATTGCATTAATTAATTTTAGTTATTAAATTAGGTTTAATTGTAATATTTTCCTTAATAAAATCTAAAATTGGTAGAATTAGGGTTTATAATCATTTTTATCCCTTTTTCTTTTCCTTCATAATAATTAAATATTTCCTATTATTTATTTTTGTAATTAAATTGCATGTAAATAATTAGGTTTAATTTTAGGTTAAAATTTAATACTTTCTTAATAAACTAAAAAAAACAACTAGAATTAGGGTTAGCATTTTATTTTAATTAATCTTTTTTTCATTAAAATCATAAAAATACAAAAATACCAAAAAACAATTTCTTTTCATTTTAATTTTATTAATCGTTTAATTTAATTTAATTAAAAAGGGTCCAACGCCCTCGTTTCTAAGTTAAATTTCAATTCGCGTATTTATTTCTTTTTCTCTTAATACTTATGTACCTTTCCCAAAGCCGTGTAACATATTTCTCGCACTTTACTTTTCTTTACTTCTTTATTTACTTTCTGTCAAATCGGGTCCTGAAAATTTTGGTGATGTGGACCCGCGCCTTTTGTAATAGCTTAGAACTTTACTTTTCTCGCACTTTTAACTGTTAATCAAGGCATGCAAGAATGAATGGACAAAAATAAAAACAAGAGCATAGATCACTCATAACCTGACAAGATAAAACATAACATGAAAATAACACACAAATTCACACACCACTCTTAGGGTACGCCTCACTGTTGCCTTGCCTCGAAAGGTGATCGTCGAGTAGAGGATGTCTTAGTAAGTCCTCATGATCCGGGAACCTGGCATGAGGGTAGCTTCTAAGGTATCTTCCTATTACTCTGGTGATCACCATGTCCCGAACCTCGAATTGATCCGAACACCTCCAACGGTGGTGCTACCTACCTCTCAATGGTGGGATGGCACTACTTTAAAGGATATTTACACAGACGAATTCCTTAGGGTAGGTAGACGACTCTAGATACTTGCTCTAATTTCAAAAACAAATCAAAAATACTTTTCACACCGACACCTTTTCAAAAAGCTTTCGAAAGCATCTTTTCAAACACTCTTGAGGACCGATACAAGAGTCGAACTGGAATTTTCAAAGAAACTTTTTTAAAACCCACAATTGAAAAGAAAACAAACAATTTTGAAAACACAAATGAGCAAGTATCTAAGAGCCCATGGATAACCATGGATAGAAAGGGTGCTAACACCTTCCCTTTCTATAACCTACCTCCCGAACCGAGAGCAATCTCTTTAAGGAATTTTTCTGTGCTTTTGTCCTTTCCAATTGGAGAAAATAAAAGACGGTGGCGACTCTTGCTTCTGCGACATTTCGCGAACCAGCGTTAAACAGTCAGTTCCAGATCCACCGATCATAATCCCTAACAAACTATTTCCAGGATAACAAAATATATAAACAGAAAATCTTACCAGGATCAATTCATTCTTCAGCATCCTGAAGAATCACCAAGAAAGATTCTTCCCGCTTCTCTGACCTTTATCTTCATCCACCGAAAAAGCAGAACAAAAACTTTCTCATCTTTTCTCTGCTTGGTTAATCCATCATCTTCATTCATTCTTCATTTTCCAGAGGAGAATCACCATAAAACCAGAAAACTCTCATCTCTCTCATCCTCATCAAGTCTCTGATCAAACTTCTCTAGATAACCTCCATCTTTAACGCGTCATCGATCACTTCATTCTTCACTATCATCATCAATTCAAACCTTCAATTCCAATCATCAATCTTCATCAATTGCTGTAAGATCTTGTATCACACCAACATTGTTTCATGTCATCTTCAACAGTTCCGCTTATCACCAGTTCACAGGCTAAAACTGCGCGACACCATAACCTGCATTTTCTTCACAACATCAACACAACATCACCTCCATCTATTCAGCAACAACAAATTCAAACAACAAATTCGTTCAAGTAATAATCGAAATGGAATCAGAAAAGACGAAGAAGAACAAATTACGCACCTGAGTTGTTGGATTCGTAATTTTTAGATCTCTTGTATCAACGATATGGTTACAGAGCCGTCAGAGCGTCTCCGGCCGCAAGCTTGAATACACATTGGATAGGTCTCTGATAGGTCAGTATCGTTGCTTCAAATTCTTCATATCATTATCGTTCCATCGTGTATTAGCTTTCCGTTTCCGCATTGGCATTCTGTTTCTGTATGCTGAGATGATAAAGAAGAACGGAAAAACGATTCGAATTGAAGAAGACAACACAGTAGAGTAGACGAAATCGAACAAAGATGGAGAGGCCACGCTGTTGATATGAGATAAAGATGGGATGAGTCCACAAAGAGGAAGTTACGCTTGGAATCAATCGGAAACGAAGCTATAGAGGTTTGACTGCTGAGAACGCCGGAAGAGAGTAGCGGTTCGCAGCCGCCATTACACATGAGGGAGATGAAGAGTCATAACTGTTTGAGCCCTGTCTGTCTTTTTATTTTTTTCTTCCTTTCCTTTTTAATTTGTTTTTTTCTAATTCAAGTACATTGATATAATTGAAGCTGGATCGGGCCGCGCTCACCATATTAGCCCGCGTATCTTTTTTGGGTAACTGCAGGAAGTACAAAAAAAAAAGACTTGGACTGTATTGTTAGGCCTTCAACGCCTATTTGTTAGATCATACCACTTGATCCTGTGAACCACCATGCTATCAAGCCCATTGTATTTTTTTTATAGCCTGAAAGAATTAAACAAAAAAATGGGAATGATCTTGTTGAACTGGGTCAAATTGTATTCACCCTAAGGCCCATCGTGAATTTTTGGAGCCTGCAAGACTTATGACAAAACTGGCTTATTGGGATATCTCCCTTGGGTTGTGCCTAGATTCTGCTTCAGCACACCACATGAAATCCAACATGCACCCCTTTGGCTTGTTTCTTTTGCTTTTTGCAACTTTCTTTTAAATAATTTCGTGAATTGCTTAGATTTTTTTGATTTTTTTACATGATTAAAAATTAAAAAAATCAAGGAAAATTTGTTAAACTTTTTATATTTGGTTTTTAGGAATTAAATCTCAATTATCTGATTACTTGAGATTTATAATTCACCTTTGCTTGTTGAGATTGAGTCTTATGCAGGTTTATTATGCGGTATGCGGATACACTTGAGATTTCAATTGTGATTTATTTTCACATCGATGATGCTTCGACACTTATCTCGAGCACTTGATTTTTGACTCTTTTCTTTGCTTGGTGAAGCTTACTCGAAGTTTTCTGGGTTTCTTTGTTTTGATACGCTTTGCTACAGATTGATATCCGTTTGGTATTTTCTCTTGTTTATCTCATTGCACACTTTACTTCTTTCTAGATGTCATGAGAAGAAGGAAATAAAGAGCGTGCGCTCGAAGTCGCTATTTAAAGACCTGTAGCAGGCATTCCGCACATCATTTGCTATATGTGTTGTGCTTGTGTTTTCTCTCCTTGATTGTTGATCGATGAGTCACTCAATTTAGGAATTAAGATCACGACTTCGCTCTCAGTGCATGCTCCCTATAGGATTTTATCGCTTTCCTTAATTCCTTGTTGATCGATGAGTCACTCAATTTAGAAATTGAGATCACGACTTCGCTCTCATTACATGTTCCCCATAGGTTAGTTTTGTTAGACTTTTTTTGGTATGCTATCCTAGATAGGATCTCTCTAGGTGTGCTCTCTTAGAGCATTTTTCAGGGATACACATCCCGTGTAGTTGTATTTTCCCTTCCTGCCTCATGTAGGTTGGCGTTTTGTTGGAACATTTGTTATTCAGAAATGTTTCTTTAATGATGGCTATTCGTGGGGCATGTGTGTCATTATTGCTCCTATTAAATAGTCACCTAAACATAACATTTTATTTGATCTTTGCGCTATCTCTACTTAATGACTTAAGCATTTTCATTACTCTTTCTACGCTTCTTTCTTTTTTTAATTCTTAAAGCTTTCCAATTCCAAAAGCTTCTTTGTCTTTTGATATCTACAAGACCTACTTTCTTCAAGTAACTTTATATCTTTTTTTCCTCATTTTACTGTTACTTTCTACTATAATGGTAGTTATTCGTGAGTGTGACAACATGGGCAAGGTAGTGGCTCATATTATTGCTTCTGAGAGGTGGCATTTATAGGATGATTATGTAAGAAATTGTATAAATAAGGAATTGTATGGTAATTTATCGACCTTGCATTCTCTAGTGACACTGACTTAGTGTCTTCTTCCTCAGGTTCAGTTGAAATCACCATGGAGCCTTCTCGTGCTTCCTTCAACCTGATGGTTTGGAAGTTTGAATCAGTGTGTTGGGATGAGAAATGTGTCAATTCGTCTAGGGAAGGCTTTTCATTTCCAATACTGGAGAATAAACTGGCGTTATTATGGAGTCATGTGTCCCTAGAGAGAAGGTTTGTATGTATCGCTCCATGGGTCCCCTAATGAGTTTTTATATTTTTATGAGGATGTGATGGAAACCATGAGGGTAGGTATTCCTTTTACTGAGTTCAAGTCGTATTTATTGATTGTCCTGAATATCGTCCCCTCTCAACTCCAACCTAATAGGTGGGGATTTGTGAGGGTGTTTTAGATTTTGTGTGGTGTCATTGGCATCACGCCGACTGTGGGTAAAGTTTTCTCTTTTTGAGGTTAAAAGCGTTGGGAGTGGGGGGTTGGATTTCTTTGGCAGGAACTCCTAACCGGGGTTTGTTCCAAGTTTACACTTCGATCTTTAAGAATTTCAAAGGCAAGTTCTTGAGGGTTATCTCAAACTTCATTTTTAGTATCTCTAAAATTTTTGTTTAAAGAATGGTCCTCCTAAAATTTAACTTTTGGTACCTCATGTCAAAATCGTAGCTAAAATGATCTCTAATTCTGTCGCTAAATTGTAAAAATCGTCGCTAAATTGCAGGAGGGACCAATAGTTAAATTTTAAATTTTTTGGAGGATCATTATTTGAGCAAAAATTTTAGAGGGAATAAAAACAAAGTTTAAGATATTTAGATGGATCAAAAACATATTTAACCCACACACATATATATATATATATATATATATATATATATATATATATATATATATATATATACACCCCTTATTTTCCCCTCACCTCCCCTTTCCTTGATAAAAATCTCTTCCCCCATCCTCTCCCCTCCCTTAAATTCAACCAAATAGAGCATAAAAGTTGAAGTTTGATGAAATTTAATTCGTTAATGTTGGTGTGAATACACCTATAAGATAACGTGTAAAATTCCCCCTCAAATTTTGAGTCAGTTTCACTAGATAATGCAAGGTCAATGAAATTACCATATAGTTCCTTATTTATAAAACCCCAATCACTGACACCCATTATTAACTTAAAAGTTCTTACATAATCATCCTATAAATGCCACCTCTCAGAAGCAGTAACATGACAAGTTCTTGAGGGTGAGGGGCGAACCCAATTGTCTGGAGGTTATGTACAAGGAAGAAAGGTCATATTATTTTCCCCTTTTTTGGGCTGAAGGTTATGTGCCTATTAGAGGTTTCGAGGTTTCCAAATTGAGTGAAACGGAAAAGGAAGTGGTGGAGCTTTTTGACGCCTTTGGGATTATGTTGGTACCTGATGTGCTTAGTGTAACACCCCAATTCTACCCCGGCAAATTATATAAATAAATCAGAGTTATAAAAAAAACCATTCATGCAAACGAATCGGTATGCCACAAATTCTTCTTTCAAAACATATTGCATTCATCGTGGATATATAACACTTTTAAAACATCGGATGAACCATCATCATGACATCTTTAATTAAATAATTCAACATCTATGCAGCGGAAAATCTTAATAACATCTCTATCATCATTACAACAACTTCAAAACAACACAATTTAATAATAATCAACTTAAAGTTCAACAACTGAATAATCAACAATCAAAAGCAACAAGTGTTCATCCCCCCGAGTGTTACATATCAGAGCAATGACACCGACTCGAACTACTGAAGGTATACAACCTTCACTCTCGATTACCTGTATGTTACCAACATAAGGGCAACATTCAAATAGAAGGGGTGAGATATCTAACAATAAAATAAAGCGCATGATAATTAATATATTAAATTAGATCATATAACATCACCACTTCTCATATCATAATCAACAATAATAATACACATTCACCATATCAATACACACTTCTTTATGCGGTCATATAATGCGACTCAATACTATGCAAATGCATGTGGTACCATTTGGAGCAGAACTCCCATCTCAAATTTTTTCCAATTAATAGAGGCATCAACAAGGCATAAGCCTTCATCTCAATATTCGCCAATACAGGCCATCTCAATGAGCATAAGCTCCATCTCAAATGTAATGTATGCGACACAATCATGAATGTAATAACAACGTTACAATTAACAACATCTAAATACAACATCATCGTTAGCCAAAGGCCTACATCTCAAAAGCATCTCAACATATCTTCATCAAACATTTCATATCATTCATAATAATTCATCAAACATCATTTATTCATCAAACATCATTTTTTCATCAAACACAACTTCATTAATAACATCTCATCAACAACTCAATTGTACTTTAATACGACAGTAACTCATAAATTTCACAACGTTGACCATAGGCCTATACTAGATATTACCTAAAATTAGCTAATCAACTAAGGCTTACTTCTAAGTCATTAAACATCTACATACTGCTATTCTGTAATCTTACATCATTATTATTATTAGTCCTACTGTTACAAACCAAACAACAACCTCTAAGCATCTCATCTTCATCATTCTACATACAAAATCAACGTAACGATCAACACAGGAACTAACTCTGAATCCTATGGTTATCCTTCCTATATTCATTTTAACCCTTAAGAATAAAGCTCATAGGTTAGCTATTCAACGCTTTGAGCGACACCTATAACGGAGTCCGAAAACTCAAATTACAACATTCTCAAGCTGATTATGCCAAAAACCAGGCAACATGGGTCGACGCATAACATCTTGGATCGACGCGTACTACACTGAACTTGCAACATGAGTCGGCACATCCTCTCTTGGATCGACTCATACTGAGTCTTGCACACAACATGTATCGACACATGCTCCTACGTATTAACTCATCCTGAGTCTGAGTCCTCATGTATCGATGCAAAACCTCTTCATGTCGACTCATCCTGAGTCTCTAAACCTTCATGTATCAACACATAATGTTTGGGGTCGACGCATACTGCTCTGTCCTACATAATTATGTGATTTTCTCTGCG